CAAAATTTTGTGATTCCAATTCGATATTTAAAAAAGTTATGAATTTTTGTATCCTTAAAATCATAATTTTTGATGTTTTTCGATAGTTGCCCACCCACAACATTTTTATCTAAATTTTTGAAACAATATCGTATGTTTTATTTGAATCTACACTCTTTTTAGTATAACTTAACAAAATTTTGTGATTCCAATTCGATATTTAAAAAAGTTATCAATTTTTGTATCATCAAAAACCTAATTTTTTATGTTTTTCGATAGTTGACCACCAACAACATTTTTATCTAAATTTTTGAAACAATATCGTATTTTTTATTTGAATCTACACTCTTTTTAGTATAACTCCACCATATTTCGTGATTCCAATTCGATGTTTAAAGAAGTTATGAAATTTTACATCATTAAAAACCTAAATTTTTGATATTTTTCGATACTTCTCACTTTGACCACCCACAACATTTTTATCTAAATTTTTGAAACAATATTGTATGTTTTATTTGAATCTACACTCCTTTTAGTATAACTTAATAAAATTTTGTGATTCCAACTCGGTATTTTTAAAGTAAAAGTTATGAATTTTTGTATCCTTAAAAACCTAATTTTTTATGTTTTTCGATAGTTGACCACCAACAACATTTTTATCTAAATTTTTGAAACAATATCGTATATTTTATTTGAATCTACACTAATTTTAGTATATCTTAGCAAAATTTTGTGATTCCAATTCGATATTTAAAAAAGTTATCAGTTTTTGTATTCTAAAAATCATAATTTTTGATGTTTCTCCATAGTTGACCACCCACAACATTTTTATCTAAATTTTTGAAACAATATCGTATTTTTTATTTGCATCTACACTCTTTTTCGAGTAACTCCACAAAATTTCGTGATTCCAGTTCGATATTTAAAGAAGTTATGAAGTTTTGCATCATTAAAAATTTGAATTTTTGATATTTTTCGATACTTCTCACTTTGACCACCCACAACATTTTTATCTAAATTTTTGAAACAGTATCGTATATTTTATTTGAATCTACACTCCTTTTAGTATAACTTAACAAAATTTTGTGATTCCAATTCGATATTTAAAAAAGCTATCAATTTTTGTATCCTTAAAAACTTAATTTTTGATGTTTTTCAATAGTTGACCACCAATAACATTTTTATCTAAATTTTTGAAACAGTATCGTATATTTTATTTGAATCTACACTCCTTTTAGTATAACTTAACAAAATTTTGTGATTCCAATTCGATATTTAAAAAAGCTATCAATTTTTGTATCCTTAAAAACCTAATTTTTGATGTTTTTCGATAGTTGACCACCCACAATATTTTTATCTACATTTTTGAAACAATATCAAGTTTTTTATTTGAATCTACACTCCTTTTAGTATAACTTAATCAAATTTTGTGATTCCAATTCGATATTTAAAAAAGTTATGAATTTTTGTATCCTTAAAAACCTAATTTTTGGTGTTTTTCGATAGTTGACCACCAACAACATTTTTATCTAAATTTTTGAAACAATATCCTATGTTTTATTTGAATCTACACTCCTTTTACTATAACTTAAAAAAAATTTGTGATTCCAATTCGATATTTAAAAAAGTTATGAATTTTTGTATCCTAAAAGTCATAATTTTTGATGTTTTTTCATAGTTGACCACCAACAACATTTTTATCTAAATTTTTGAAACAATGTCGTATTTTTTATTTGAATCTACACTCTTTTTAGTATAACTCCACAAAATTTCGCGATTCCAATTCGATATTTAAAGAAGTTATGAAGTTTTCTATCATTAAAAATCTAAATTTTTGAAACAATATGAAATTTTTTGTTTAAATCTACATCCTTTTTAGTATATCTCCAACAAATTTCGTAATTCCAATTCAATATTTAGCGAAGCTATTAATTCTTGTAATTAACAATGATGTAATAACTAATAAAAAAATGATTATTAATATTTACATTTATTTTTGTTCACACAAACCTTTTAATAACAATTTTTGAGAAATAAATCGTACAAAATCACTTATAAATATAACTAATAACTTAAAACATTACATTTTTGTTTCATTTCCACATTCACTTAAAAGTTTTTGCTTCAACGTAACGGAACAAACATAATTTCCTTTAAAACTTGTTGCGCCATCTTTCGATGTAAGGCTACATCCATCTTCTGTGTCTAATAGAATGCTTCTAAGTTTGGATTCACGTCGAGATCCTCCAGCTCTTGCTGCGTCAAATTGCGAACATCTGGTTGATCGATTATTGAAATCGTCGCTAATTGGGTTTCCGCAAAGCACGGACCGGAAAGCTTTCCTGTATCTTGCAGACATAACGTTGTAAAGAATGGGATTTAACGTTGATGATAAATAATAAAGAATCCCTGTTATGTAAAACATCCACTCGTTTGCTACGTAATAATATTCCCAGTTTATTGCGTGAAGATATAATAAACGCTGGCAGTGAAATGGTGCCCAGCAGACGAAAAATGCCACAACAACGGCAGCTAACGATTAAAAAAATTATTTTAAATTAAATTGTGATGAAAATATTTCAGATTTATTATTACCTAACATCCTAACAACTGTTTTATGGGCTTGAACCCTCCTACTATCTCTATGCAAAGATAATCGTATAGTTCCTTGAAATTGCTTGGAGCTGTTATAAATTTGCAGTCCCATTTTCGTATATTGAAAAGCTAACACTGACATAGGTAATATAAAGAATATAGTTGCACTTATTTCAGCTAAAGGAACGAATTTTGGTTGATCCAGCATTGCGCAAAACGCCGACTCCTATATGAATAAATAAAACGTATCATATATTATTCAAAATCGTAACAGTTTTTCTAAAAATATAGATAAGAAAAATGGAATCGTTTCTAAAGGATTTTAGAAAAGCTTACTACCCCAGGGATGTATTGAACCGCTAAATCGGTTCAAACTTTTTATTGATAGAAAATATCTTACCTCGAGAATTGTGTCACTACCTGGAGGATAAACTAAATAATGTACGGTCGTGTAAACTGCAAAAGGTAGCGCAGCTAGAAATGCGATAAACCATAAAAATGATATTATCCGAACTGCTCTTCTAAGTCCAGACATTTTATGTATGTACAAAGGATGGCAAATTGAAATGTATCTTTCCGTTGAAAAGGCGACTATTGTTAACACAGAACCGTAGGAAGCCCTAAAACATTTTTATTTCATTACAATAAAAAATTGTTGCAAAAATACCTTACATTTCAGATAATAAAGCACGAACTTTGCAGAATGTAACTCCCAATTTCCATGGATATTGATGCCAATACATCGACACATCATTCGGCAAACCTAACATTTTCAATTAATAAACTAAATTAAATTGGCAAGGTTATTTTATCACATTTTACATTTCAATTGGATATGCATATCGATTCATTTTTTATTGGATTGGGTACTTTTGTTATGAGTAAACATTTTTCAGGTATTTCCATTTTTTTTACACTGTTAATTAATTTAACACACGTCGAGTGTTGCAAAAAAAATAACCCCGGATCAAAAAGTTGATTAATTAAGAGCTTTTAGCAGATTCAACACATCAAATATGATGCAATAAGATTTAATTTAATGATTTTTTAAAGTTAAGGTTCAGTTTTAATTAAAGCTTCGATTTTAAACTATGTAGAGATCGTGTTTCAACTATTTGGGATATTCGCAAATAATTGTATAGAGTTGAAAACATCAATAAACTACGTGTAATACGAAAACAATATGTTACATTTTCATACGGATCAAACTCTCGGAATTCTTTTGAAACGCAATTTCTTTTGTGAAAACCAGGTTTGGTCGATTCAACAAAAAAAAATGCGATTGTAGTTTGCATTGGCGAGATCATGATATTTCAGGTATTTCGAGAGTGTTTTAATAACATTGCTGTTTTTTATATTGTAAAATACGAAACGAAATTTAAAAAAAGTTGATTTAGAAATCTGTATTATGGTTTTGGGGTTTTGGATTTTATAATTTCGTTTCTTTTATCAAAATTTACATTCAATTTACTATATGCCCTAAAAATATTATTGTTTCAAACCAGTTTATAAAAATGTTATGAATTTTAATATCTCTAAAATTTTTTTTTTATAGTTTTCATTTTTGTATAAATTTTTGGAACAATATAGTATTTTTTATTTGAATCTACACTCTTTTTAGTATAATTCTACAAAATTTCGTGATTCCAATTCGATATTTAAAAAAGTTATGAATCTTTGTGTCTTTAAAAACCTAATTTTTGATGTTTTTCGATAGTTGACTACCCACAATATTTTTATCTAAATTTTTGAAACAATATCCTATGTTTTATTTGAATCTACACTCCTTTTAGTGTAACTTAACAAAATTTTGTGATTCCAATTCGATATTTAAAAAAGTTATGAATTTTTGTATGCTTAAAAACCTAATTTTTGATGTTTTTCGATAGTTGACCACCCACAATATTTTTATCTAAATTTTTGAAACAATATCCTATGCGTTATTTGAATCTACACTCCTTTTAGTGTAACTTAACAAAATTTTGTGATTCCAATTCGATATTTAAAAAAGTTATGAATTTTTGTATCCTTAAAAACCTAATTTTTGATGTTTTTCGATAGTTGACCACCAACAACATTTTTATATCAATTTTTGAAACAATATCGTATTTCTTATTTGAATCTACACTCTTTTTAGTATAACTCCACAAAATTTCGTGATTCCAATTCGATACTTAAAGAAGTTATGAAGTTTTGCACCATTAAAAATCAAAATTTTTGATATTTTTCGATACTTCTCACTTTGACCACCCACAACATTTTTATCTAAATTTTTGAAACAATATAGTATATTTTATTTGAATCTACACTCCTTTTAGTATAACTTAACAAAATTTTGTGATTCCAATTCGGTATTTAAAAAAGTTATGAATTTTTGTATGCTTAAAATATCTAGTTTTTGATATTTTTCGATAGTTGACCACCAACAACATTTTTATCTTAATTTTTGAAACAATATCGTATTTTTTAATTGAATCTACACTCTTTTTAGTATAACTCCACAAAATTTCGTGATTCCAATTCGATATTTAAAGAAGTTATGAAGTTTTGCGTCATTAAAAACCTAAATTTTTGATATTTTTCGATACTTCTCACTTTGACCACCCACAACATTTTTATCTAAATTTTTGAAACAATATCGTATGTTTTATTTGAATCTACACTCCTTTTAGTATAACTTAACAAAATTTTGTGATTCCAATTCGATATTTAAAAAAGTTATGAATTTTTGTATCCTTAAAAACCTAATTTTTGATGTTTTTCGATAGTTGACCACCAACAACATTTTTATATCAATTTTTGAAACAATATCGTATTTCTTATTTGAATCTACACTCTTTTTAGTATAACTCCACAAAATTTCGTGATTCCAATTCGATATTTAAAGAAGTTATGAAGTTTTGCGTCATTAAAAACCTAAATTTTTGATATTTTTCGATACTTCTCACTTTGACCACCCACAACATTTTTATCTAAATTTTTGAAACAATATCGTATGTTTTATTTGAATCTACACTCCTTTTAGTATAACTTAACAAAATTTTGTGATTCCAATTCGATATTTAAAAAAGTTATGAATTTTTGTATCCTTAAAAACCTAATTTTTGATGTTTTTCGATAGTTGACCACCAACAACATTTTTATCTCAATATTTGAAACAATATCGTATTTTTTATTTGAATCTACACTCTTTTTAGTATAACTCCACAAAATTTCGTGATTCCAATTCGATATTTAAAGAAGTTATGAAGTTTTGCGTCATTAAAAACCTAAATTTTTGATATTTTTCGATACTTCTCACTTTGACCACCCACAACATTTTTATCTAAATTTTTGAAACAATATCGTATGTTTTATTTGAATCTACACTCCTTTTAGTATAACTTAACAAAATTTTGTGATTCCAATTCGATATTCAAAAAAGTTAGGAATTTTTGTATCCTTAAAAACTTAATTTTTGATGTTTTTCGATAGTTGACCACCCACAACATTTTTATCTAAATTTTTGAAACAATATCCATTGTTTTATTTGAATCTACACTCCTTTTAGTGTAACTTAACAAAATTTTGTGATTCCAATTCGATATTTAAAAAAGTTATGAATTTTTGTATTCTTAAAAACCTAATTTTTGATGTTTTTCGATAGTTGACCACCAACAACATTTTTATCTTAATTTTTGAAACACTATCGTATTTTTTAATTGAATCTACACCCTTTTTAGTCTAACCCCACAATATTTCGTGATTTCAATTCGATATTTAAAAAAGTTACGAATTTCAGTATCCTTAAAAACCCAATTTTTGATATTTTTCATCATTTATATTTATATGCTTATAGCAGCCTAAATCTTGAAATTTAAGAAAAATATTTAAAAAAGAATAAAGAGATAGATTTTCTTTAGAAGCAGTAACACTTTTAATTGATTTATTTTAACCCGCCGTGTTTTGAAACATGTATTTTTTAATTTAGGAAGTGTGAGACTTTTAATTTAATATGAAACTAATAAATGTCCGTTTTTAAATCAAAACTAGATAACAGAGAATATAAATTATTTATAACTACCCATAAATCTACTTGAAATATTAAATTCGAAATGGACAATTTCTATATTTTAAATATGAATACGCCATAAAAACATATTACTGGCGAACGAGTTTATTTTGCAAAAAAAAAGTTAAAAATCTCCATCACCAAACAGAAAACGTTTTATGTTCCGCAAATTCGCCTTCAATGACGTTTAAACCGGCCATAAAAAAGCGTCTTGGTAATTTAAACGATAAAAAAGTTCGTTTAACCCTTTATAATCTAATTAATTTTTTACTTACCAAAAGCAAGAAGTGTTAAATCCGACACAGCCAAATTAAAAAGATAATAATTAGTGGCTGAATGCATGGTACGATGTCTAACAATCACTAAACATACAACAAAATTTCCAATAAGACCAGTGATGAAAATAATAACATTAAGAATTGTTAATGGTACAGAAATTTCCAATGGCAATTGTTGAGGTCCTCGTTGATATAAAATAAATAACTGTGGTGTTAAATTGCAACTGACGTTCGTATCGTTTATGTATGTTATATTCGAACATTCTTGCAACATAATTCAACTTATTACTGTGTTTCGAGAGATTCAGGGCATCATCACTGCTAAATCTGAAATAAAAAAAAAAAAGTTGAAACAATCAGACGAATTCATCCAGGTGAATCAACGCAATGTTTGCTCCTGCTGCGGCAACGTGATGAGACTTTAAAAAACACTACAATAAAAATAAAATGAGATTATTAAAGTGATAAGAAACTGCAAACAAATGTTGCTCAGATAACGGTAATTTAACTTTAAATACAAGACTTTAAAATTTTTAATTAAAATTTATTAAATTATGTTTCATTACCTTATAACTCTACCTGGCGGGTCACTTAGTTTAATTCCAGCGGCAAACACACCTACGACCAGGTTGAGTTCTAATTGAAATTGGCTACTTTAAAGTCAACATGCTCAACTACATGAACACTGAAATTGCTTGTTTAATTGAGGACCATTTTTGCATTAATTTTAGATCAAAAAGATGACCCAAATGATTTTGTAATAAAGTTTAAATTGTGCCCCGAAATAATTGTTCGTTTGGCGATAATTTTATACAGAATTAATGAATTTCTATTGCCGCAGGATGTTTCAACGAACTATTTAATAAATTATTGGTAATTACTAAATAATCCAACAATTAATTTAGGTTTCAATAAATTAATTTGATATGTTAACTCGACGTATTTGGCTCAATTTAAATGGTTATTACAAAAATAGAAACGCAAAAGGAAATTTTCATTTGTGTCATTGTAGATGGTTATCAAAAAATGTGAAAATTAATTATAAATATGGAAATGTAGTGTTAATATGTATAATACATATACGTGCAGGGTCGGATTAAAATATTTAGAATGTAAAGATTTTTAGTTACAAAAAGGAGCAAATTTTACCAAATGAGCAAAGAACTGAATATGATGGTCTTTACTGATAAAACCAAATGCATGGTGATAGCAAAGGATCATACAGTTTGTCTATCTGGGCGTACAAATTTCCAGCTACAATGATCCTGTTAAAGATCACAAACTAATTAGGCTAATATGTTAGGTGCCTTAAGAGACATTGTTTGATCTAACAAATACATGAGAATCGACAGCAAAGTTAGGATTAATAAGAGAAACAAAACCAAGAGTCTACTAAGAAAAGGTGAGATGAAAACATTAAGATCCATATTGGGGATAACAATAATGGAGAGATAATAATGGTCAGATGGGGCAGACAACGGAAAAGAGCGTGGCATCATCATATAAACAGAATGCCAAAAAATAGATTGCTCAAACCTGTCTTGATATACAACCCCCCGAACACCAAACCACCTGGGAGACCACCAAAAAGATGGCAGAACAGTTGGCAATCTACGTTCCAGGATATAACACAAATTTGACACTTTTTGAAATTGTGTCTAAACGCAAAAGAGGTGTTTTCTCCGTAATGATTAAAATTTAAGATATGAAACTTTTTGAGGTTATAAAGGAACGCTTGAAGTTAGGTTGTACCAAATTTGAAGTTTCCAGGGTGCGCCATTCATTTTATATATATTTTTAAAAATCGGTAATTCAGTTTGACACCTGACGAAAGTGAGGTTAAAGAAAAAAATTGTTTTCATCAAAACGGTTAATATTTAAGAAATGAAGCTTCCTGAGATTGTAAAGGAACGTTTGAAGTTAGATTGTACCAAATTTGAAGTTTCCAGGGTGTATCATTCATTTTATATATATTTTTTAAAATTATTTGATTTGACAATTTTTGAAATTGTGACTAAAAGCAAAAGAGATGTTTTCTCCATAATGGTTAAGATTTCAGAAATGAAACTTTTTGAGGTTATAAAGAAACGTTTGAAGTTAGGTTGCACCAAATTTGAAGTTTCCAGGGTGCACCATTCATTTTATATATATTTTTATTAATTACTTGATTTGATACTTTTTGATATTGTCACTAAACGCAGAAGAGGTGTTTTCTCCATAATGGTTAAAATTTCAGAAATGAAACTTTTTGAGGTTATAAAGGAACGTTTGAAGTTAGGTTGTACCAAATTTGAAGTTTCCAGGGTGAACCATTCATTTTATATATATTTTGGAAAATCAGTAATTGAGTTTCACGTCTGCTGAAAGTGAGGTTAAAAAATATTGTTTTTTTCAAAAGGGGTGAACTTTAAGAAATGAAACTTTTTGAGGTTGTAAAGGAAGGTTTGAAGTTAGGTTGTACCAAATTTGATGTTTCCAAGATACACCATTCATTTTATATATATTTTTAAAAATCGGTAATTAAGTTTAACACCTGCTGAAAGTGGGATTAAAATTAAAAAATTGTTTTCTCCAAAAGGATTAGGATTAACTTATGAAATTTTTTCAGGTTATATAGTAACTTTTAAAGTGATGTTACACCAAGTAACATAAGTTTCCAGGGTGAGCTTTTTATTATATATAAAATTTTAAAAATCACCGTTTTCATTAAAACTTAAGATTGCTCCAAAACAGTTTGAAATTAGGAAATGAAACTCTTTGATGTTATAAAGGAATGTTGAAGTTTCCATTATGAACTGTTTATTTTATGTGCATTTATAAAAATCATTGATTTGTTTTCATATTTCTTGATAACGTGAAATTTTTTTTCAAAATGGATGGTGATAGCAAAGGATCATGCAGTTTGTCTACTTGGGTGTATACATTTCCAGCTACAATGATCCTGTTAAAGACCTAAGATTACGAACTAATTAGGCAGCAAATATGTCAGGTGCCTTAAGAGACATTGTTTGGTCTAACAAATACATGAGAATCGACAGCAAAGTTAAGATTCATAAGACAAACAAAACCAAGAGTGTACTAAGAACAGGTGAGATGAAAACATTAAGATCCATATTAAGAACAACAATAATGGAGATACAGGATATCGTCAGATGGGACAGACAACGGAAAAGAGCGTGGCATGATCATGTAAACAGAATGTCAAAAAACAGATTGCCCAAGCCTGTCTTGATTGCCAACTGTCCTGCCACCAAAAAGATGGCAGGACAGTTGGCAATCTAAACAGACCATATGGTCTAACAAGAAGAAGAAAAAGATTAGTAAAGGGTGTAAAAAGCAAGATAAGACTTAAAAATAGATTAGAAATTAGTTGGAAGTATCCCTACTAAACAGCTGTTTAATAAATGTTATTTCATCATTTTATGCATAAAGCGGTAGAAAAAAGCTGATCACCACTAAAATCGATGGATTATAAAAGCGAAATTTTGCACAGCGTTAGTAATGTGTATTAGAAAGAAGGCAACTTTGAAAAATGGCAACAACTGCAGAGAAAAAAATTAGATCACTCACACTTAAAGAGTTGCAACAACGAAATTTCACATAAGAATCATAAATTCTCGCAAAAGTCAAAATTTGACCAATTCTGGAGAAGGATGGATGGAGATTAAGATACAACGGTGAGTTGTATGAGGTTTATAAACACCTGCCACTGGCATAGTTCGTCAGACTCCAATGCCTAAGATGTTGGCCACGTGATGCGAAGAGAGAGTGCCAGGACGACTGAAGAGGAGTGAGACCGAGGGGATGGCCGAGATTAAAATGGACGGGAGTAGGAGATGAAGGAGAGAGGCTAGGAATAAAGATAAATGGAGGCAGAGGAAGGCCAATGAAATGACTTGTAATACATAATTTTTCCATATTATTACTAAATCGATATGGATGACCACCACGAATAAAAGCCAGTGATGTTAAGTTCAAGTCCAATAACACTTCCTTTTTCATAAAGTATAAATTCTACATATAATTATTAGTAGTGATGATGAAAAAGTATTTTGTTGTTTTCAGATGATGAAAACAGTCGCCTATAGCTACATAAATGCAAAAAGGTGATTACTGGGTTCGTAACATTAAAGGACCAAATAGGTCTTCTTTCATCTTTCATGGAAGCGACACTATGTGCAGAAGCAAATAATATGCGCAGAAGGAAAATATCATTGTCGAAAGAGCCATTTAAGACTGTCTGAGATAGAGTATATGAGATAGAGGGTTTAGGTTCAATGACTTCATCAGTGATCTCGGAAAGGCGAGACAACTTCTGTTTTAATAGTATTAGAAGTCCTACATTTGTTCTTTTTGTGCGATAAAGCATTCCATCGTAGATTGCTTTAGCTTTTGGGCATGTCATGAATTATGAGACATAACCAAAGAGTTCTGAATAGCCAAAGTATCACTTCGGCTAAATTGCCAAAACGTCTAGAGTAGGAATTAAAGAATTTTTAAGTTTTAACCACAACGAAGAAGTTTAGGACGAAGACCAGGTATTGAATGATTGTAATAAACCCAACTCTAAGTATGCAAATATGTCAGAAGTAAAATTTCAGGCGGATATACAATATCAAGCATCATCTCTCCAAGCTAGATCTTGGGCAAGAATAAAATAACATGGCAGAAGAAAATTATTAGGAAAAAAAGTGAAATATTAGGAGTTGAAGTTATTTGGAGAAAAGAACGTCATGCCGAGAAGAAAAATATGATAGGCAGATATAAATTCGAGGCATTCGTTAGAAGCTTAGGAGGTATCACTTTAATCAAAGGATTTTTCAGTTAATCTTACAACAACGAAGAAGTTGAGATTTAAGAAACGAAAATTTATGAGGTCAAAAAGAAACGTTTGAAGTTAGGTTGTACCAAATTTGAAGTTTTCAGGGTACATCATTCATTTTATATATATTTTTAAAAATTAGTTGTTTGGTTTGACACTTTATGAAATTATGACTGAACCCAAAAAGGTGTTTCTCTATAATGGTTAAGATTTAAGAAATGAAACTTTTTGAGGTTATAAAGGAACGTTTGAAGTTAGGTTGTACGAAATTTGAAGTTTCCAGGGTGCACCATTCATTTGATATCAGAGAAGAAAAATATCATAGGCAGATATACATTTGAGGCATTCGTTAGAAGTTTTGGAAGATCACTTCGGCTACATTGCCAAAACGTCTCTGAATGTTATTGGACGCAGGAGTAGGAGGAATTAAAGGATTTTTAAGGTAATCTTACCATAACGAGGAAGTTGAGGACGAAGAGCAGGTATTGAATGATTGTGTAGAGCGTAGATGAAGGAAAATAAACCCAACTCTATGTATGCAAATATGTCAGAAGTAAAATTTCAGGCGGATATACAATATCAACCATCATTTCTCCACGCTAGGTCTTGGGGAAGAACATAATATCATGGCAGAAGCAAATTATTAGGAAAAAAAGTGAAATATTAGGAGTTGAAGTTATTTAGAGAAAAGAACGTCATGCGGAGAAGAAAAATGTCATAGGCAGATATACCTTCGAGGCATTCGTTAGAAGTTTTGGAGGTGTCACTTCGGCTACATTGCCAAAATGTCTTTGAATGTTATTGGACGCTGGAGTAGGAAGAATTAAAGGATTTTTAAGTTAATCTTACCATAACGAGGAAGTTGAGGACGAAGAGCAGGTATTGAATGATAATTGCAGGCGTATATAATATCAAGCATAATCTCTTGCTCAAGCTAGATCTTGGGCAAGAACAAAATATACTATGACAGAAGAAAATTATTAGGAGAAAAAGTGAAATATTAGGAGTTGAAGTGATTTGGAGAAAAGAACATTATGTGCAGAAGATTTATTAGAACCGCGGCTGTTCTTGACGAAGCGCATTTTGGACGTCCAATTTTGGGCCGCTTTTTTTAGGATTGCTGGCCGGATCAATATCATCCATATTTTCAAACAAAAAATCATTGATCACGGTGCGGCAACGATCTTCATTGACCATAACGCGAGCTCGGCTTCATTTTTCAAAAAATAAGGTCCAATGATGCCACCAGTGTACAAACTACACCAAACGGTGCATTTTTCTGGATGTAATGAAGTCTGTTGTGGATTGGTTTCACTCCATATGCGGTAATTTAGTTTATTAACAAAAATGAGCCTCATCGCTGAATACAATTTTGCGATAAAACATTGGATCAGTTTCCAACTGCTCTAGAGCCCAATCGGCGAAAGAACAAGGCATATGATGATCTGGTGGCTTCAATTAAACGAGTTAAGCCAAGATCTTTGCGCAAAATTTTCCACGTAGTTAGACAGAGTCCTAATTATTGCGACCGACGACGAATCGATAAATTTGAATCTTCTTCCACACTATCGTTTACAGCGGCGATATTCTCTTTAGTACGTACATTCCTTCGACGTGTTGGTGTTATTGCATCATTTAGAGAGTATGTGGTATGAAATCTATCACAGTTCGACGGATGGCTTGCTCAGATGGAAGATTACTATAAGTCTATAAGTTGTGCGAATTCACTGCTGATTTTCAAAGTAAATCTTGATTATTTGGTAGCGTTGTTGAAGCGTCAATCTGTTCATGATGATTTGTCAGAGTATACTGATCATAAATATCAAAAAGTGAGCGCAGTATGACAGTTAACCCTTTCGTAAGTTCTATCTAGCTTAAAAAAACAGCCTCTATAAAGCGAGTTACACAAAAAGGGTGAAAGACCAATTTTTAAGATTTTCGAAATGATTATTGAAATAGGTTATGGATTATGATATTTGTAGAACATAATCAACTATTTTTATGCATCTCTGCTATTTCTGAAGATATCTAGAACATGATAAAGCCAAGATGCACAACTACTACATATATGCAACCAATATCACAGTATTTTTATTGCAATACGCAATTTGCGTATGATGCGTATTGCACTGTGATATTGGTTGCATACTTGCAATGATGACGTCGGGTACAATAATTAATTAACACACTGTATTTAATTACCTTTTTAGGTTATAACCGATTTCAATACAGATTTTTGTGCAGTTTAAATTGGATATAAATTGAATGTTATTAAATAAGCAAGTTTATTTAACATGAATGAATTTCAAATATTTACATAAACCCAATTTCCAATACATTTGATTCTTGATTTTTATCTATTTTTCTAATAATCCGGCCCTGCATACGCTCTTGGTATATGAAAGCTCGATATAATCTGGCATTGAACCTGCACTACTAAATCAATTTTTGTAGTTCTAGTTTGCATTTCTTTAACGAAAATGCAAAAAAAAAGTGAAATAAATTTTAAGTGAAATTATCTTATAATTAAGAACTCAATTACGAAGATGTTATTTTACGTTTCAATTAAAAGTTGTGGCGATGTTAAGAGTTCTGATTTTATTTTTGGTTCGATCGAATGAAACACGATATTTTATTAAATTAAAATGTGTACACCCAATTTTGGTGCATATCATTATTATTTGTTGGATGAAACGTTATCTATACGCTCAGCGTAAATACAATTATAAATCACTGTTGTTTTACGAGCGGTTCAAATTAAAATCGAAAGCACTTCATCTTGAAAGTAATTATTTTCGGTTTTTTTTTTCCTAATCAATTTGAGTTTTAATTTTGTTAAAGTTTTATATTTCTAAAATAAAAAGATAACAAAAAATAACAATTTACTGTACCTGTTTATACAAAAATAGTTCAACCAATTGTTATTTGAATCAATTCATTCAAATTAAAACTATTTCCAGCTTTACAAATAAAATTTTTACCAATAGTTTTCCACAAAGCACGGTATAAACTCGACTAATTAACTGACGGAACGTTCATCTCGGTCGCAAATGTTTCGCGAACACGTTCTGAAACGAACTGACAGGTTGCTTGGTTAGAAGCGTCGCGACGCTCGGCGTCGTCTACATGTGTGAAAACAATCGTCCACACTGAACTCGACCGACTCTCCTGTTTTCAATGGACCACGATTATCTCGTATTTGCTTTCGTGCATACTTCACTTCGACGAAAATCCACAATAAAACTAACTTTGCTAATTAGGATGCAATTATTAAAACTAGTTATTATTCAAAATTTTTGATACTAAAAACAACTTCGTTTTAAAAATTTCGTTAAAAAATTGTATTTCGCCCCATAATTATCGAGACATCTGGTACTTTACGATGATGTCCTTAGTAGATGATAAAAATGTTCAATAAAAATTCCTATAACCATATAAAGCAAGATATAAGACGAAATTAGACTCTTAACGCAGCTCATCTAACGCGAAATAGTCACTATAAATTCGAATAAATTTAAATTATTTTTGCGGAGAATTAATCAAAAAAAAACCAACCGCTAATTAAATTCCGAATTAATAATTGCTTATTTCGCATTTCCTTTCATCAATTTTCTATTATTTGCCTCGAAATTCATTTCGTAAAAGCTTTTCCGGTGAGATCAAACAACAAATTTTTTTTTATTTTCAAACATATAGAAAATTAATTTCATATTACGACTAAAACGGAATTTATGAAACCCAATTTATAGAGCTCATTTCAAAATTGAATTAAATTGATCACATTTGGAAAATTTTATTCTAATTAAAAACGTAGCGAAATTTCGTCGTAATGGAGTTTTCCGTGTTAAAACGATTTGAAAAAACACTTTTAGTTTTGCTGGTTCAAAAGTTTTAACTTAATCAACGTGTTTTGGGTTAATTTTAATTAAATAATATGTTATGACTATAACATAAGAGAGTAAATACATCCTTCAATGTGTTTTTATGTTTTTTGGCAAGTGTTGCACCTCTGAAAAAAATTTGTTTTTTCCAGAAGGGTTAAGATTTAAGAAATGAAACTTTTTGAGGTTGTAAAGAAACGTTTGAGGTTAGGTTGTGCTGAATTACAAGCTTTCGGGGTGAACCATTCATTATATATATATTTTTAAAAATTCATAATTGAGTTTAATGCCTGCTGAAAGTGAGGTTAAAACAAACAATTTTTATCTACTAAACGGTTAAGGTTTAAGAAATGAAACTTTTTGAGGTTGTAAAGAAACGTTTGAGGTTAGGTTGTGCTGAATTACAAGCTTTCGGGGTGAACCATTCATTTTATATATATTTCTAATAATTGCTAATCCATTTGACGTCTGTTGAAAGTGAGGTTAAAGAAAAAAAATTGTTTTCATCAAAACGGTTAAGATTTAAGAAACCAAACTTTTTAAGGTTGTAAAGAAACGTTTGAAGTTAGGTTGTACCAAATTTGAAGTTTCCAGGGTGCACCATTCATTTTATATATATTTTTAAAAATTACTTAATTTGACACTTTTTGAAATTGTGACTAAACGCAAAAGAGGTGTTTTCTCCATAATGGTTAAGATTTAAGAAATGGAACTTTTTGAGGTTATAAAGAAACGTTTGAAGTTAGGTTGTACCAAATTTGAAGTTTCCAGGGTGGACCATTCATTTTATATATATTTTTAAAAATTACTTGTTTGGTTTGACACTTTATGAAATTATGACTGAACCCAAAAAGGTGTTTTCTCTGTAATGGTTAAGATTTAAGACATGAAACTTTGTGAGGTTATAAAGGAACGTTTGAAGTTAGGTTGTACCAAATTTGAAGATTCCAGGGTGAACCATTCATTTAATATATATTTTAAAAAATCGGTAATTCAGTTTGACACCTGACGAAAGTGAGGTTAAGGAAAATTATTGTTATCTTCAAAACGGTTAATATTTAAGAAAGGAAACTTTTTGAGGTTGTAAAGGAAAGTTTGAAGTTAGGTTGTACCAAATTTGAAGTTTCCAGGGTGCACCATTCATTTTATATATATTTTTAATAATTACTTGATTTGGCACTTTTTGAAATTGTGACTAAATACAAGAAGGTGTTTTCTCCATAATGGTTAAGATTTAAGAAATGGAACTTTTTGAGGTTATAAAGGAACGTTTGAAGTTAGGTTGTACCAAATTTGAAGTTTCCAGGGTGCACCATTCACTTTATATATATTTTTTAAAATTACTTGTTTGGTTTGACACTTAATGAAATTATGACTGAACCCAAAAAGGTGTTTTCTCTATAATGGTTAAGATTTAAGAAATGAAACTTTTTGAGGTTATAAAGGAACGTTTGAAGTTAGATTGTACCAAATTTGAAGATTCCAGGGTGAACCATTCATTTAATATATATTTTTAAAAATCGTTAATTCATTTTGACACCTGACGAAAGTGAGGTTAAAGAAAAAAATTGTTATCTTCAAAACGGTTAACATTTAAGAAAGGAAACTTTTTGAGGTTGTAAAGGAATGTTTGAAGTTAGGTTGTACCTAATTTGATGTTTCCAAGATGCACCATTCATTTTATATATATTTTGGGAAATCAGTACTTGAGTTTGACGCCTGCTGAAAGTGAGGTTAAAATATATTGTTTTCTTCAAAAGGGGTGAAGTTTAAGAAATTAAACTTTTTGAGGTTGTAAAGGAAGGTTTGAAGTTAGGTTGTACCAAATTTGAAGTTTCCAAGGTGAACCATTCATTTTACATACAGGGTGATTCAAAAAACCGCTGACAAATTTTTAGAGCCTCCTTAATTAACGAGATATAGCGGGTCAAAGTTTCTTTAAAATTAAACATTATCTGCAATAAAAAGCCCTTTTTTAAAAATATTGTCTACGCCATTGCTAATTTTGTCAAACGGGTTAGTATGTTCGTGTAAAGTGATTATCTATCAATTGGTCTCTTACAAAACGTTTATCAAAGCAATAGTTTTTAAGAAAAACATGTGTGTAGAAAATTTGTTAATCCAATCAAAAACTGTTGCTTTAATCAAAGTTTTGTAAGAGATTTTACATGAAAATACTGCCCGTTTGACAAAATTAGCAGTGGCGTTTAATTTTAAAGAAACTTTGACGCATTATATCTCGTTAATGAGGCATTTGCGACCCCATATACCTATATTAAGACTTTTCATCTTAATTTTTGATCTATTACCTGCCCTAGAACTCTGTCAGCGGTTTTTTGAATCACCCTGTATACTTCTAAAAATTGGTAATAGACAATCTAAGCCTTGACGTCACAGGGATGGGCGGAGCTTATACTGACTCTAAACATTTTCGTTGCTAACGATAAATCCCCATATTCAATTTTTCAATTAGTGTTAAAATTAAATAAACTAAGTGATGACATTTCAAATGACATTTTTTTGGCGATTTATCTTAGCAATTGTGGTTAGCAACGAAATTGTTTAGAGTCAGTATAAGCTCCGCAGAGCTCTGTGACGTCAGACTTAGGCAGTCTCAGTTTATTATACAGGTGTCCCGCAACGATTGTACAATACATCACTAGCATATTCTAAATGATCCATTTTCGAGATATTCAGTTTTAGTTTCATAAGTTGGTTAACATCATTAACAAAGATTGTTGAAGAAAATCCTTCAACCAGCATAAAACCAAGGAATATTTAACAAATTCAAAAAGAATGATGTCATTTATAGTCGTTACGATATTTGTTAGCTAAAAATACCAATAATAACACTTTTGTGTTTTGTTTTTAAAGCGTGTTGCACTTTTGGTGCAAAAATATCTCAGAAACTAATTAACGGATTTGCAGCAAACTTATGTTGTCAAAAAATAAGTTATAAAAAATATAACGTCAATTTTTTTTTAAAAAATAAACAAGGTGATAAAAAACGGAACAAACAAAGATAAATTTTAAAAGTCTGTAAAAGCTGTAATAATTGCCACTTCAATTCGAACCTCGTTTTCTAAATAATTATTTTCAACTTTAACATTTTGACAACACTTTAACTAGTCTTCAACAGAGTTTTCACAACGTTTAATTTAAATAATACATTTCTCTTCGCTACTTTGTTTTTAACTTGAGCCCATATCATTAGGTAGGGACAATAATTAATCGATTGCTTTTAGATATGGGTCATAGTAAACCATTAGTGCTATTGTCAGCCCAACTATTGGAACTAGTATGACCTGTGTGAATGTAAGTTTCATCTAAAAAGAAAATATATAATATTTAATTTTATCCAAATAATTCAACAAACGCTCATTGGAAATATAAAAATTGCTATGCCGCCGCCAATGACTTTTGGGGTGTCGGATGTTATAAATTCCAAGAATCTGACGTATTACTGGCTGTACTTCTAAATACAAACCATGAGTAACACATCTGTTTGTGTTTTAACGCTTTTTAACTGATGCTGCACATTTTGAACTTCTTCAGAATAAACTATTTATGTTAAATGTCCCCAAAACCAAAAATCTAACGTATTTAAATTTGGTGAAATCCACTTATTGCCAAATTTGTAATCTAAGTATGTTGTGGTGTGGTGCTCCTCATGCACAAAGTAGTAATCTTATAGGATTTGCTAATTTTCACCAAATGTCTCTGTAAACTCAATTTTGTAAAAAATATATGTAATTATCAGCTGTAAATGTGTTTGGAAGAAAAAATTGATCTGATAACTCACCTATAACATACACTAACATTGAATCGCCACTTATGATGAGTTTCTAGTATTGCATTCAACACTGATTTATATAGTCCGTTTTGAGTAAATGTTGCTTCATCCGTAAATAATGTATGGTCCAAAACCTAATCTATCATTTTTCGTCATCATTTTCAATTAAAGCTTGAACAGTGTTGAAGGTTGCTTTCTTAATGTTTTCTTGTGCAGAAATTCTTCTAATGCTGGTTGTGATATTTTCGCTTTTTTTGATTCCACATGAATGTTCATTATTAAATTATGCAACTAAAACTTTGAATATCTCACCAATGGTTTATTTTCGGACCGCGCTGGTGAAGTGTTGTACAATCGTTTCGGGACACCTGTATATAAATAAAAATAAAAAATCACGGTTTTCGTTAAAAGTTAAAATTGACATTATAAATGTTTTCTGCAGAACAGCTTAAAATTAAGAAATGAAACTCTTTGATGTTATAAAAGAATGTTGAAGTTTTCATATTGAACTGTCTATTTTATATGCATTTATAAAAATCATCAATTTAATTTGATATTTGCTGAAAAAATTACAAAAAAAATACATCAAATTTTAAGCTTTCACATTGACCACTTTTTTAAATTAATTTATTTGAGAATGGCCCTATTTTAATTGATATTTTATACCTGAATATTTATCATGATTATAAAGACACATACAACTTAAAAATTCAACAAGAATTTCTCGATATTAATAATTTATACTTCCAGGTAGTTCTAAACTCCATTTCCCATGAGAAATTGATTTCCATGACATTAACCCGGCGCATCCACCAAAGTGACCGGAAAAATTGTGCTTTGCACCGCCGCCCGTCTCATAATTCTTAAGATTTATAACCGTTAAAAAATATACTTCGAGATTTAGCAAACCCCGAGATTTAGTAGAAAATTCTCATCTCTTGAACTATAATTAATAATAACTCGTTGGTCATAAAACATTTATTCGACGTCATTATAAAAACCCAAATCAACCACGTTAATTAAAAGATGGCTTGGTGCAGTTTCGGTTATAGAATTAATTTGAATCGTGACGGGGATGGTGGGAACTCTTCCATCAATTTGTAATGTGGTCTGGGAGACTCTATATTAGCAACAAGCTCTGGTCTCCGCGTAGCTATCTTGGTTTCTGAATTATTCTCTACGAAAAGGAGTGCTTCCATTTCAAAATAAAACGAAATAACTTTATGTACACTTTATTTTGAATTTAAAAATGCATTTTCATTAAATTCTTTACTAATTATGCTAATAGAGGAAGCTCTAATAATATTTTCTTCTTTCACTTTTAACGAAGTATTAATTTCCGGGTTCGAGCTGGGTTTAACATTTTTTATGTTCTGTAAAATATTTAACCAAGAAGGATGAGAACACAAACGATTAGAAAAATGATCTTGCAAGGTGTTTTCTGATTTAAACGATTTTAAATTCAAATTCTTTTTAACCTCATCGTTATTCGGTTCGATAATCGCAACATCATAACCGTTTAACAATAAATTCTCCAACCTAGAAATTTCTTTATCTAAAGCATCAATTTCGTTACGATACACTTTATTTTGTATTTCCATCCTTAGACATAACTCGTTTCTATCTTCCGGTTGTATCATCCTCCGCGTGTTACATTCAAATTTAAGTCCCATACTTTGCATAACCGGATCCTCTTCGTTCGTATTCGCGGCGAATACTTCTCTTAGCTTAGGTAGAAATAATAGAAATAACGTGATCGTTGTAGATACTAAAATACTTGAAGTCGTCGCTATGTAGCTAATGATGATATCTTGAGACAAAAAGTTCGATAAAAAGACAACAATCGCACTAGAAACAGCGCTATAAACACAAATACCAATGTATTGAGATTCATTTAACGCTTGAATTTTTACATTCCTCGTTTCCCAGGCCATGTAAACTCCCATGATTAATAGGAAGCCTTTGTAACCGTAAATTGCCAAGAACCAACCCTTTGTGTTATTACAACCGCAGACTTCAACCTTTAAAAAGAATAATGTAAAAGAGAAATCTTAATTGCATTATATTTCTATTAATACTAACTTGAGTTTGATATAACACTCCTCTATTTATAGGACTTATTTCGATAGTTAAGTTCTTTAATTGCCTATGTAGCGGATCGATGTAAACCCAAAATGTTATAATAATACCATCAATTAACAGTAACAGCATTATTAAACCAATTAGTTGTTTGTCTTTGAGGATTTTGTCTTTAACGAGATTCGCAGAGCCGTATGTAAAGATTCTGTGTACTCTGTAAGTTTTTGCAAACATCGAACCGAAGACTAATGTAAATCCCGCCGATAATAAATACACTTTAAACTGCAACAAAAATTAATAAAAATTGAAGTAAACAAAAAATGAATCGTTCTGAGTGTTAGGGGGTTGTAAAATAAATTGTTTGAGCTCTATTTTACATAATATGAGTGAGAAAAGGTTTTGGAATTTATCGAAATAGGATATTGAGGAAGTTCTTCATCTACTTTATGACGAAAATGAACTTTAACGGATGTAGTAGAAACACGTAGCAAATATACTCTTCCGCGGGTAGAGGCCGGAAACGTGGACGACCCAAACGAGGAACTACATCAACACAAACTAAAAGTCCTGATCTGAAAACAACATCAACGAAAAATCTGCAACATGGCGTTCCAGGGACGTCATCTCAAAGGCAAAGCGAGTTATTCAGAAAACCACAAAAATTGGATTTTATAAAACCAGGTAATAATTCAACAAATAACACACAAAAAGTAAATGAAAATATTAATAAACATATTACTTACTCATTTAATGACAAAATGAAATAATTAAACAAAGAATTCATAACGATTTTTGAAATTACTCCAAAATCAAAAACTTTAACAAGAAGCCAGTTCTTCGCTTTCCACTGGAGGGAAATTCAATTTACAAATAATATAGTCCATAATGATATAATTAGCGAAACCAAACAAGGTTTTCTAATTAAATCAAAAGATAACAAAAACACAGTAATCATATGCGATGTGGAACTAGATATTCTAGATGAAGATATTAGTAACTTCTTCAATGACAAACTTATCTTTCATAGATATTGCAAAGGAATAATATCACGCGCCATCCACAATCCGACGAGAAAGATAAGAATCATAACAGGTGAAGCCAACGCTTTCCAAAAACTTGTACAAGAAGATTTATACTATAGACACAAACATTACAAAAAAATCGAAAGCAACGCACCACCACCAGCTCCCATCCCGTGCGGGAAATGTACAAGTTTTACTCACACCACCGATGCTTGCAAAGAAACACAGCGAAGTGTAAATGCAAAGAAAACCACAAAACTACCACCTGCACTACAGAGCCTGTATCATGCTTAGCTTGCAGGGAAATAGGACACCAGGCATGGTCTTTTAAATGCAACAAGCGCCCTCTCAAACCCAATAAAAAAGTAGTCAAAACTTCAAGAACAGATACATATACGAATTGAATAAACCAGAAAATCAGAACAGAAATGAACTGATACAAAAACTAAGAGGTCGTTTCGCGGACCAATTCAAGATAGATACCTTTGTCAATATATCTGGCAACCGTGCTTATTAATGCTGGACCGCCTAGATAATGGGTACGTTCAGCAGGCGTGTGGCTATGAGGTATTAGCCAACATAATAATACAATTATAAAATTAACTTTTTGACAGACTTTTTATTTTGCGTCTGTTCTGTTTTGCTTCAAAAACAATTGTGTGGCAAATATAAAAATAATAACAAATGAAATACATTTTATGTTTTTAAATGGAGCTGCTGCCACAGCACGCTACAAGGCGTCAACAGTTGAATTAAATCAGTCACCTAGTTGTATGAGCTTTAACACAGCGGAATGAAGTCGGATGAACAAGCAATTGAGAATTAGCGGTTCTGCATAACCTAAAACTATGGCCAACAATAATATTTTTGAAAATTTTGTGCCATTACAAAACGTAGTGGATGATGCGTTTCTGCATTAACAATATTCATTTTTATACAGTTTTGTCAGTTCTCAAATTAAAGGGGAGAAACAAAAAATGTTAATCCTAACCTAGAATAATTTCACAACCGCTGACAAACTAAGCGCAGATTACTTATGCTGAGATATTTATTAAACTTCTGCGTAACAGCGCTTACTTAGCGTATCGTTCAGCCGCGACTAATAATATAGCAACTCAACAGTTGACACCGGCTGAATGTGCCCAATGACGCACCACCAGCAACAATTCACTCTCACGGACAACAGAGTAACATCATCTTAACATATCCAGAGATGGAAGACACTAATTCAAATACCACAGCCGAATCAATCCGTGATATTCAAAATATGATGGAAATAGCAGAGATAGAACTAAGAGAACCTGGGTACTAGTGATGTAAAGTTTTGTTACTTTTTAGTATTTGTAACTATCCGTTACTTTCAGAAAAAGTATTCGTTACTTTGTACTCGTTACAAGTAATCGTTTGCGCTTGAGGTTCCAGTACTAGTTTGCGCTCGAGGTTCGATTACTCGTTTTAGTTGGACTACATACTTATATGAATTTATTTTACATTACACTTATTTTTGAAAACAAACGTACGTATATTATATTGTGTTTGTTACGCTATTATGCACTGTGCACTAATATCAAAAAATAGAGTGTAGGTTATGGGATTTACTTTTTCACTGCATATTATAACGAAGAATTTTTCTTAATTATTATTATTTAATTATTAATAACTTACGTTTCACTTATTATATAACAAAAATATTTGGAAGTAGTAACACATTAACAATGGAAAACAAAACTTCTTCTATAAAACAAGCAATAATAAAATAAAATAAAAATATTAAAACAACAATAAAAGATATTACAGGTTATTATTGCAATGTAAAAATAAATTTTGTTGCGCATTTCGACTTTTAAGTCGATTTCGCCTATCCAACAATACTTGGCCTTTGGAAAAAGTAACTGTTAGATCCAAAGTAACTGGTACCGATGTGATACGGTAACAGTTACTTCGGATCTCGCGGAGTAACGAGTACTCGAATAACGAATTGTTACTTTTTTTACATCACTACTGGGTACATATAGCAACTAACAGAAACTGAGACGAACGAAGAGGAAATCAACAACTACTCAGCTCCCAAAGAATTTATAAAAGTCATATATGCAAATATTAACAGCTTTAACAATAAATACCTCATTTACAACTATATACAAAAAAATACATAGACATGATGCTATTTGTAGAAACTAAAATAAACGCAGAATACATAACCAATAAGACAAGGGGCGGATTCCTCATATTGCTAAAGACAACAATACCTTTAGGTAAAGTAAACCCGCCATCGATTAACAAACCTCTCAATGAATGTCTCCACTTCACCATCCCTTTCGATAAAGAACAAATCCACATCTTTCTTGTGTACATCCACCCACATCAGCCTCTTGAAAAGAACATTTTCTCTAAAGTAGCATAATACAAATACCTACGTCATAATAATAGGCGATTTCAACCTTAACCCATCTAAACGCAAACAATTGCAATCGTTCTTAGACAACTCTTATTTTAAAAAAAGACATACGAACCCTACATTCCTGATGCCGAAAAACAACGACACAATCCCGGATGTATTAATCCACACTGAAAATATTACGGAAATTGTAAAAAACCTACAGGTGATCTAATCTCCGACCATTTGGCGATAACGTTCAAAATCTGCACAAATCAAACCCCACCAACTCAAACCAAGAGGCGAAAATATAACCTAACTAGAACCAACGTACAAAATGTAAATGAAGACATGACAACAATATTCCCATCAACATGGAAAAAAGCTGAAAATTATAGATGAATATCTTCGCGACAGGATACTGAGCATCAAAATTAATAATCTTACATCCTTCAATTTCTCCCCAAACACACAACATCTACTGCTATGATATACAGTGTGTTAATTAATTATCGTACCCGACGTCATCATTGCATGTATGCAACCAATATCACAGTACTGGTATTGCAATACGTGATTTGCGTATTCAGATATATTCAGTGTGATATTGGTTGCATACCAATAATTTAATGCAACCTTGACTAAGCATGTGATAAAATCTTATCAGAGCCTTTGGAACTTATGAACCAATATTATCAATGATTTCTTAACTTGTGGTAATGTTGCAGCCATATTGATATCGGTGGCAAATTAATAATATCGATTTTACGGCATAAACATGAAAGTAAAGGGAAAGGAGAGGAATTAAGATTATTTATACAGGAAATTGAACTTGTAGGTGATGAGCTGAGAAGCTGGATGTTGGAAGCTCATAAACTAATACTATCAAAGAGTTTCTGGCTGGTAATATAGCAGCCAGAATACAAAACTGAACTGATATTAAAATTGTAAGGTAGTAAAAAGTAGATAGCTATAAAAGCACACAGATGAACGCCAATACAGCTGTCAGGCTATCACTATGCAAGATGGATGTCCCATGGAGGTATGGCAAAACAGTAGTTTTCTGTTGGAAACATTTCAGGACATGTACTGCGAATTGATGGATACTGTGCAGAATGCCCAATATCGACGAGTTGCGAAATGGACGGTGAGAGAGTTTTTTTTTATAGCAAACCATTATTGTCTGTAGGGACAAACTATGATAGTGCGAAGCAGCGTGATAATAATTGAGTATCTGCTGAAGGAAGACAGAAAATGAATGGAAATGATAATACGTTAAATTTGCTTTAATTTGAGCCCAACCTCGGTGGAATTATGTTAAAAATAAGGGAAACGACAATTTTTTAAAATGAGGCGATTGTCGATTGTTTTTTTGAAACGTCAAAATTGAAACTTTGGTAGCTTTGTTTTTTATAGATGTAATTTAATCGAGTTTGGACTCAAATTTAAGGAAATTTGAAGTAGATTTTGATCATAAGTGTTGAAATATAACAATACAATCGATAATTAAACCTTGATCTTTAATTAACATTTCTGGATGTTGATGAATTTTCTAAAAATACTTAAATATGTGGGAAATCAATAAATATTAATAATGATTTTTTAAAATCCCTAAAAATTCTTGGGATAATGTTAGAAAATCCAGAATGTTTATAGAAATATCTTGAAAATGCCTAGAAGATCTCGGAAATCTTTGGATAATGGTAAAAAATTATCTTAGTTTAAGTATATCTCGGCGATAAAAATAAACTTACCGTGCATAACTTTGTGAAATATTCATTCTTAATAACACTTTTATCAATTCCCAATAAAATAGCTGCTAAGTATACTAAAATGCAACCGATCACAGCCACAGTGTTCAATTTGGGACTCGACATTTTAAAAGACATAACCATTCTGTATCTTAAATTTAAATACAAGAATATTAAGCACACAATAATCCCAGCTGCGCAAAGAGTCGAAATAATATAAAAAATAACTTTAGGAATCGTTATTAATCTAGTTTTAAAAACTCTTCTAGCTATCGGTAGTTGACCGCCTTTCCAAAAGATTTTGCAGCAATTCGCGCAGTTAAAGTCCAGGTAGTTTTCCGACGTGTAATAAATAGCTATTCTTCTTAATTCTCCATCTGGAAAGAATCCCATTTAGATCCAGTAGAGTGTTAATGAATAAAAGATTTACGTTGTATCTGCTTTAATTCTGCGTTACCCATTCTATCGCCGCCAGAAAATTTTATTGGACCCTAAATGAAATAATTAAAATATTAAAAATTTAAAAAACTAAAAAAAAAAATTAATTATTACACTAACTCCCATAAAATCCAACGAATTCATCGCGTAAACAAACTCTTCGGATAAACCACCATTGTTATAATCAAATTGATCTAAAATTTGTTCATCGCCAAACAGGTCTTTAACTCGCCTTAAAGATAAAGACATACACCAAATTGCGTCATAAGCGAATTTGGCGTATTTCGATATTGATAATGAGTTTAAGTTTGTGTAAAAAGAATCTTGGGTCTAAAAAAATTGTTTTTTTTGGAAAGAAATTGAATTAAATCTTTTATTACCAATCCTGAAATTGATGTAACATTTTCCGATAAAAAACTATAATCGGAAATGAAAATAAATCCCTCAATAACTTCCATAACAATCTTTTTTGGGCAATAAATCGGGTTATCCCACCAATAATCATCGGGTTCTTGAAGCAACCACACATAATCCGATCCAAACATTTTTAATTCGAAAATTTCGCACATAATTTTGGGTGCTAACTTAACAGAGAATGAGCCAATAATAATCCGTGTGTCTAAACTTTTAAGAAATGAAAGTTGTTCTTTATAATTATCAAGGGAAAAAGTGATGGTTGAGCAGGTAATATTTGCGTTTTCGAGGATAGTAACAAGGTTGTTCAAAGGAAGTAAGAAGACGTTGTTACTTTCACAGAAAGCTGCCACCGTTTCCCAACCGTAATATTTCATGAAGGCTGTCCTAGCAGGGTTGAAGGATGAATCCGGAGAAACCGTACGAAAAAAGAAAGGGAATTCGTTTCGGTCGCTGAGGTTAGGGGATGTGGATCCGAACGATACCTTAAATAAAAAAAAAGTATATATAAGGTTTTTTTTACCAAATTAGAATTGGTAATAAAAATGAATTTATTACCTGTAATATATTCCAATAAACAACGATGTGGGCTAAAGATTCGCTTACATTAGAACATCCACTTCCTAATAACATAACAATCTTTTTATTAGAATAAATAGCGTGAAAAAAAGCATCAATCCCAACTCCAGGATCGCACTAAAACCAATAAAAAGTTATTAATAAAAAAAAAGTTATACCTATCGGAATTCTTTTACCTTGGTATCGTTAATTAACAACTTGATGAAATATCCGGGTAGAACGTCTTTCGAATTAACGTCCCTAACGGCTAACTTGGCCGCTTCAACTTCGCTCCGGGCTTCCTCACGTTCAACCCCGTTTTCATCGTTCATCTCAAACAGTCCGAGAAAATAAATTACTTTATCGTCATGTCCCGGCGTCCTATTGTTAATAACCGGTTGGAATGGTGGTAAATGCGGTTGGAAACTTCGGGGAATCCCGGCGAAGACCGCAGTTAAATTCTCCATGGAAGCTAAAGGGTTGAAAATCGGGCGCCAACCCTTCGTTGTGAGATAGGTGGCGAGTATCGCCAATGAGACCAGAATGACGTAAAGGTGTTTTTGAAGGGCCACCATGTCTCGCGAGGTGGCAATCGGCGACTGTCTTGCATGCCGAAGGCATCGAGTTGAGGCTGAAAAATTTTCAGGAGAAATGTGCCTACTTGAGTGACACTTCACGAGCCGGTTGCTGGGTGCACAATTGGCGGTGTCAGCTTTTTTCATGAACCCTTTGTTGCCTGGCCGAGGGCTTTTCTGCTTCGGGGTTGTTGTATAAAAGTATGAACTAGTTAAAAAGAAAAAAAAATTAGTCGCTTTTAACAAAGTTAATCATATTTAGAATTTTTTATTCATTAGGAATAAGTTCGCTTTTCTTTTTAAAGGTTAAAGTTATAAGACATTGATACGAAAGGAAGAAGTTTTAACAAAGATAAATCTCATTTAATTCTTTATTTGTAAATTAAGTGAATTATGTTAAGAAGTTTACTTTAAAATCTTCTGATAAATTAAATTTTGAGTAAATTTACCAAATTTGGTTCTTCTAAATTTACACATAACCTAGAAAAGAATTTTTGATCTCAACCCTACAAAAAATTAATAATCTTAATTTAATAAGTTAGGTTTAAAGGTAAATTTCTCAAGAACTTTATCTAGATATCAAAAAACAGTTTTCACCATTAAAATTGTTTAACAATTTTGAGTAAATCTACCAAATTTGGTTATTCTAAATTCATACATAACCTAGAAAAGAATTTTTGATTTCAATCCTACAAAAATTGGATCTTATGTTAATTAGTTAACTTTAAAAATTGATTTCTCAAGAACTAATTTAGATGTCAAAAGACAGTTTTTACCATTAAAATTGTTTAACAATTCTGAGTAAGTCCTCCAAATTTGGTCGTTCTAAAATTATACATAACCTAAAAGAAGAACTTTGAAGTTAAGCAGGAAATAATTGCTTAATCAAATTTTTATAGATTAACTTTATCTCAAGAACTAATCGAGATACCAATAAACAAATTACACCATTAAAATCGTTAAAGAATTCTGAGAAAATCCTCCAAATTTGGTTTTTCTAAATTTATACATAACCTAGAAATGAATTTTTGAACTTAACGTTACAAAAAATGGATCTTAATTTAATAAGTTAGCTTTAAAGGTAAATTTCTCAAAAACTTAATTAAGATATCAATAAACAGTTTTCACCATTAAAATTGTTTAACAATTTTGAGTAAATCTACCAAATTTGGTTGTTCTAAATTCATACATAACCTAGAAAAGAATTTTTGATCTCAACCCTACAAAAACTGGATCTTATGTTAATTAGTTAACTTTAAAAATTGATTTCTCAAGAACTAATCTAGATGTCAAAAGACAGTTTTTACCATTAAAATTGTTTAACAATTCTGAGTAAGTCCTCCAAATTTGGTCATTCTAAAAGCATACATAACCTAAAAGAAGAACTTTGAACTCAAGCAGGAAATAATTGCTGAATCAAATTTTTATAGATTAATTTTATCTCAAGAACTAATCGAGATACGAATAAAAAAATTTCACCATTAAAATCATTAAAGAATTCTGAGAAAATCCTCCAAATTGGGTTTTTCTAAATTTAACACAACCTAGAAATGAATTTTTGAACTTAACGTTAGAAAAAATGGATCTTAATTTAATAAGTTAGCTTTAAAGGTAAATTTCTCAAAAACTGAATTAAGATATCAATAAACAGTTTTCACCATTAAAATTGTTTAACAATTTTGAGTAAATTTACCAAATTTGGTTGTTCTAAATTCATACATAACCTAGAAAAGAATTTTTGATCTCAACCCTACAAAAACTGGATCTTATGTTAATTAGTTAACTTTAAAAATTGATTTCTCAAGAACTAATCTAGATGTCAAAAGACAGTTTTTACCATTAAAATTGTTTAACAATTCTGAGTAAGTCCTCCAAATTTGGTCGTTCTAAAAGCATACATAACCTAAAAGAAGAACTTTGAACTCAAGCAGGAAATAATTGCTTAATCAAATTTTTATAGATTAATTTTATCTCAAGAACTAATCGAGATACCAATAAAGAAATTTCACCATTAAAATCGTTAAAGAATTCTGAGAAAATCCTCCAAATTTGGTTTTTCTAAATTTATACATAACCTAAAAAAGAATTTTTGAACTTAACCTTACAAAAAATGGATCTTAATTTAATAAGTTAGGTTTAAAGGTAAATTTCTCAAAAACTTAATCTAGATATCAAAAAAGAGTTTTCACCATTAAAATTGTTTAACAATTTTGAGTAAATCTACCAAATTTGGTTGTTCTAAATTCATACATAACCTAGAAAAGAATTTTTGATGTCAACCCTACAACAACTGGATCTTATGTTAATTAGTTAACTTGAAAAATTGATTTATCAAGAACTAATCTAGATATCAAAAGACAGTTTTTACCATTAAAATTGCTTAACAATTCTGAGTAAGTCCTCCAAATTTGGTCGTTCTAAAATTATACATAACCTAAAAGAAGAATTTTGAACCCAAGCAGGAAATAATTGCTTAATCAAATTTTTATAGATTAATTTTATCTCAAGAACTAATCGAGATACCAATAAAGAAATTTCACCATTAAAATCGTTAAAGAATTCTGAGAAAATCCTCCAAATTTGGTTTTTCTAAATTTATACATAACCTAAAAAAGAATTTTTGAACTTAACCTTACAAAAAATGGATCTTAATTTAATAAGTTAGGTTTAAAGGTAAATTTCTCAAAAACTTAATCTAGATATCAAAAAAGAGTTTTCACCATTAAAATTGTTTAACAATTTTGAGTAAATCTACCAAATTTGGTTGTTCTAAATTCATACATAACCTAGAAAAGAATTTTTGATCTCAACCGTTCAAAAACTGGATTTTGTGTTAATAAGTTAACTTTAAAAATTGATTACTCAAGAACTAATCTAGATATCAAAAGACAGTTTTTACCATTAAAATTGTTTAACAATTCTGAGTAACTCCTCCAAATTTGGTTGTTCTAAAAGCATACATAACCTAAAAGAAGAACTTTGAAATCAAGCAGGAAATAATTGCTGAATCAAATTTTTATAGGTTAACTTTATCTCAAGAACTAATCGAGATACCAATAAACAAATTTCACCATTAAAATCGTTAAAGAATTCTGAGAAAATCCTCCAAATTGGGTTTTTCTAAATTTATACATAACCTAGAAATTAATTTTTGAACCCAACCTTACAAAAAATGGATCTTAATTTAATAAGTTAGGTTTAAAGGTAAATTTCTCAAAAACTTAATCTAGATATCAAAAAACAGTTATCACCATTAAAATTGTTTAACAATTTTGAGTAAATCTACCAAATTTGGTTGTTCTAAATTCATACATAACCTAGAAAAGAATTTTTGATCTCAACCCTACAAAAACTGGATCTTATGTTAATTAGTTAACTTGAAAAATTGATTTCTCAACAACTAATATAGATATCAAAAAACAGTTTTCACCATTAAAATTGTTTAACAATTCTGAGTAACTCCTCCAAATTTGGTTGTTCTAAAAGCATACATAACCTAAAAGAAGAACTTTGAAGTCAAGCAGGAAATAATTGCTGAATCAAATTTTTATAGATTAACTTTATCTCAAGAACTAATCGAGATACCAATAAACAAATTTCACCATTAAAATCGTTAAAGAATTTCGAGAAAATCCTCCAAATTGGGTTTTTCTAAATTTATACATAACCTAGAAATGAATTTTTGAACTCAACCTTACAAAAAAATGGATCTTAATTTAATAAGTTAGGTTTAAAGGTAAATTTCTCAATAACTTAATCTAGATATCAAAAAAACGTTTTCATCATTAAAATTGTTTAACAATTTTGAGTAAATCTACCAAATTTGGTTGTTCTAAATTCATACATAACCTAGAAAAGTATTTTTGATCTCAACCCTACAAAAACTGGATCTTATGTTGATTAGTTAACTTTAAAAATTGATTTCTCAAGAACTGATCTAGATATGAAGACAGTTTTTACCATTAGAATTGTTTAACAATTCTGAGTAAGTCCTCCAAATTTGGTCGTTCTAAAATTATACATAACCTAAAAGAAGAAGTTTGAACTCAAGCAGGAAATAATTGCTGCATCAAATTTTTATAGATTAACTTTATATCAAGAACTAATCGAGATACTAATAAAAAAATTTCACCATTAAAATCGTTAAAGAATTCTGAGAAAATCCTCCAAATTGGGTTTTTCTAAATTTATGCATAACCTAAAAATGAATTTTTGAACTGAACCTTGCAAAAAATGGATCTTAATTTAATAAGTTAGGTTTAAAGGTAAATTTCTCAAAAACTTAATCTAGATATCAAAAAACAGTTATCACCATTAAATTTGTTTAAGAATTTTGAGTAAATCTACCAAATTTGGTTGTTCTAAATTCATACATAACCTAGAAAAGAATTTTTGATCTACAACAACTGGATCTTATGTTAATTAGTTAACTTGAAAAATTGATTTATCAAGAACTAATCTAGATATCAAAAGACAGTTTTTACCATTAAAATTGCTTAACAATTCTGAGTAAGTCCTCCAAATTTGGTCGTTCTAAAATTATACATAACCTAAAAGAAGAACTTTGAACCCAAGCAGGAAATAATTGCTGAATCAAATTTTTATAGATTAATTTTATCTCAAGAACTAATCGAGATACGAATAAAAAAATTTCACCATTAAAATCGTTAAAGAATTCTGAGAAAATCCTCCAAATTTGGTTTTTCTAAATTTATGCATAACATAGAAATGAATTTTTGAATTCAACCTTACAAAAAAATGGATCTTAATTTAATAAGTTAGGTTTAAAGGTAAATTTCTCAAGAACTTAATCTCGATATCAAAAAACAGTTATCACCATTAAATTTGTTTAACAATTTTGAGTAAATCTACCAAATTTGGTTGTTCTAAATTCAGACACAACCTAGAAAAGAATTTTTGATCTCAACCCTACAAAAACTGAATCTTATGTTAATTAGTTAACTTTAAAAATTGATTTCTCAAGAACTAATCTAGATATCAAAAAACAGTTTTCACCATTAAAATTGTTTAACAATTCTGAGTAAGTCCTCCAAATTTGGTCGTTCTAAAATTATACATAACCTAAAAGAAGAACTTTGAACTCAAGCGGGAAAGAATTGCTGAATAAAATTGTTATAGATTAAGTTTAAAGGCTGATTTCTCAAGAACTAATCGAGATACCAATAAACAAATTACACCATTAAAATCGTTAAAGAATTTTGAGAAAATCCTCCAAATTTGGTTTTTCTAAATTTATACATAACCTAGAAATTAATTTTTGAACTCAACCTTACAAAAAAATGGATCTTAATTTAATAAGTTAGGTTTAAATATAAATTTCTCAAGAACTTAATCTAGATATCAAAAAACAGTTATCACCATGAAAATTGATTCACAATTTTCAGAAAATCCTCCAAATTTGGTTTTTCTAAATTTGTACATATCATAAAAATGAATTTTTGAACTCAACCTTACAAAAAATGGATCTTAATTTAATAAGTTAGGTTTAAAGGTAAATTTCTCAAGAACTTAATCTAGATATCAAAAAACATTTTTTACCACTAAAATTGTTTAACAATTCTGAGTAAATCCCCTAAATTTGGTTGTTCTAAATTGAATTTTAAATATAACTCAAAAAAGTAGTAAACGAATTGGAATTCGTAGATTTCAAACTTATTTAATCAATAAATATTATGTAATTTAACAAATTGTTGATTAGAGATTACTTTAAACAAAGTCTAGAAAATCGTATAACACAGCAGGAAGTTGTAAATTCCCCGAAATAAGTTAAATCTACCACCATGAGATGGCGTGTTGTTTATTTCCAACTAAATCAATATTTGTATAAATCCAACGCCAGATTGTGCTGCTATGCAGTATAATTTTTCATGTTTACCTTTTTATATTTATAAAAAACTTGGTGTTCATTTTTATTTTTTAAAAATTTAATTGTTTGCTTTAAAATTGAGTTTAACTAACTAACAATAATTTTCGTTTGATTTTTCGAGTTTGTATTTGTGCTTGATTTTCTCGGAGACCTCGTTATAAACTAAACGTCGTTCTCAAACATTTAACTGGCCTAATTGCGACGGAAGTCGTTACTCGGTGTTTGTCAAGAGGTAGAAATACGGCGGCGTTTAGTTAATTTTCCGCGGCGTTAATTGGATTTCGAAACGTACGGGGAGAGGGGGTTAAAAATGGTGGAGGTGCCGGGGCGAGATAATTTTTCAAGTATTCATAAAATATGCTGATCACGCGCATGGATTAACGGGAATTACATCCTTCGCGAACCGTTCAATACCTAACCTGCCTGTAACGGTTAAGAAATTTCGCGTTGCAGAGAATTAAAGTCTGTTTGGCTCAGATAGTTGGTGATTTACTGCAATGGTATACTCGAACTTCTAGAAAGAAAGCTTTATTTACGACCCCGCGGCATTTTATCCCGATGTTCCAGAAATTCAAGGAAAAACCACCAACGAAAACTGTCACAACGTACTATACACAATGCAAACAATATAGAGAGAGAGGCTGAAAACGTAATAACGCGATAAATCGACATAATCCGACGTGATGGGTAAGTGGTGGTGACAACACGTTGACAGAAGGTTGAGCTCTAAAAAAAAAGTCTGCATGGCGTGTTATTTTTCGAAATTGGAGAGTCGTAGACGTAATGATACCCTCACTCAGTTTGGTGCTTGGATTAGTCGTTTAATTAAAGCGACGAGAGTCGCGTAGGTTGGATTAAAAAAATTCTACAAATTCTTTTCGACGTCGAGTTTTAATTAAACAACGAATTTTTTTAAATAATAAATTTCGTTAATATTTATAAACAAAGTTCACGGTACAAAGTGTTATTAACTGGGTGAAAATTCCCGTCACGCAGCTTCAACATCCGGTAAACGCAAACATGACGAGCGTAATCGAATGCAGGTTTTTCGCTTTCAAAAAGCGACGCGTCGCGGCGCGAAATTTGCTTAAACCGGTATTATTTAATCGATGGTGCGTGCGAAAGCTCGTCCCTCTGATTTACGACATCGGGAAATAACGTATAAATTATTGTCGAAAGTCGAAACCATCCAACGGTCGAATATCCATATCAACGCAATACCTGAAAACTCCTCTTTTTACAAAAACGATATTTTATTAGAGTTTCTAACGACCAATGAATGCCCCTAAAATCGTAACTTTCCAGTTTACGAGGTAAAAACAAGCGTGGCCGCAACAAGTTTATAGCGGGAGACATCGTAACTTTGATGGTTTATCGTGGCGAACCGAATTTAATCAATCTGATGGTGTTAGAATGTTGAAATAACTCGAAATTATCTAGAAATTGTTGTTGAAAGATAATGTTCCAACCTTTGTATGAAAGCGTTAAGCGTAAACAGTTGCTCAGCGATGCAAGCTTTTCATTTCTCAACGGAGGTCGCGACCAGATAAAACACGGAAACGTAAAAGGGGGCCTCTTTTACGTTTCTGCAGAACACAGCAAACTGCGAACGATTCGGTGGTGCGTGCAGATTCGAAATTAATTGCCCCCCACGTCCGGCATTTTCAACTTTATAACTGGAAGCCGAAATTGCCAACGCCACCTGGAAGGCAATTAAAAGTTAATTTATAAACCGATTAAAAAAAAAATTTTTTTTTTGATTGATATCGAATCCTACAATCGCAGTACATTACAACAACGCAATTAATGAAAGTTTGTGTTCTAACTGACCCTAAATGCTTGGGAGACTAAATATTTACATCCCACCTCAGGTTGCTTTGAACTACCTAAACTAGATTACGTACACCAATAATTGTATTAAATTGAGTTTGTAAAGTAAATTGTGTAACGTTCACCCAAAATAATGTATAATACGTGGAACGTTTTGATAAATTTTTAAAAAGTCCCAAGAAGAAATATTTCTTGTTCATCGCACAGAGAACTACTTTAGAAGTTTGTACGCTTTCCCGATATATCAGGAAGCGGGGTAAACACACAAACTGATTGCGAGTGGTAAAATAGAGAATTAACCGTCATAAATCACCAACGTTTGGACGGAGTTATAAATCTGGTGAGGGGAAAAAGGAGGCAACACCCCGCAAGAAATGGATCAGACCGGGCATAACACCGCGTTGTACCCATTTTAGAATGCATTAGCCAAAAAATCACGTAGCTCCAGCAGCTCGCTCGCTCGGTAGATAATTTATTTCAGTCACTTCCTAACAGTGCAAAACTAGTGTGCCCTCGCAGTTGGTCTGTCACGTCCTAGTAATCTGATCAATCTTTTTACATCAAGTAAAAAGATAACGCAACAATCTCTATACGAATCAAATAGTGTTTTGTTGCAGTTTGGAAAAACAACGTTTTTGAATATGGAAATTCTCTAATCGAGGTCGCTTGAGGTATGTCATTTAAAAAGGTTTGTAGCTATTTTTGTAACTGTAATGTATCTACTTGGTTGAGTTTTACTTTGGCTTTCACGGCTGGTGTTAATTAGAAAGATAGATTTTTCTCAATCGAACATCCCTTTCGCGTTCCTTGATGCGTCATTCGATGTTACGTCCAATTTGGCCAACGTAATATTTCCCGCAACTGCACGATAGCCTCCGTTTAATGGGGTTAGTTTGTCTTTGGCTTTCGTACCACGATATCATTCTTCTTCAGACACCTCGCAATTCGCTCCGTCACATCTAAAACTAAGCAAATAAGTAAGGCAAATAAAAACCGCTGTTGTCGTACTTACCGAATCATCCTTCTATTTGCGTGGTTTGGTGGCTCGTTGGATATCCCTCATCGTATTGCCATTCTTCTACAGTACATCTAAGAATCTTTTTTCAGGTTCTCTTTATCACATACCCTCTCTACTCGCTGAAATAAGGCTTGAATCACGGACCTCTTCAGCTTTGGGTAGTGGTGGGATGAAGCCTGCAGCTTCCATTGGTTCCATGCCCCCATCTGTCTTCCTACTTTGTGTCTTCCCCGCTGACAATTAGACACTAATTAGTCACTAATTATCTTTTCATGTATTTATTGTTAAATTTTAACCGATTTCGTCACTTCGAACTTGTTTCTGAATAAGGTTGCAACATGGCATCCGAAACGTCAAACATTTTTTCAAAAGACGCACGGCTTAACGCGAAAGGTTCTAAGGGTTTAGTGTTAGCTCTAGTTTTAGTTTAATTGTGATGTTAGCTTGATATACATAATTTTGGAGTTGACTCTAGTAGAGGTCACTTGCGGCCGAGGCATGAACTTAGTGCTAAAACATTGAAAATTTGAGGAATTCTACTGCCTCTTCTTATTATCGACTAAATTTTAAAAGTTTGTGCGAGGTGGGGATGTAAATTTGTAAGGGTCCTTCGAGTCTGGTTTTGATTTGGTTTTCCACATTGGTTTGTGACACCAGACTCGAGTGACCTCTTGGGAACTTACAACATATTTTTTGTAAGCTGTTTGTCTTTTCCTTGTGCTCAGATTTGTCATAATTAAGTTTATATTTTCAATTAATTGTTAATTTTTGCATTTTAATCAGAGTGTGGTTAATAGACCAGTTTTTTTTTTTAATTTTAACATTTAATTCTTCCACCTTATCCCGAAACCACATTCCACGGAATTTTCCGCAACAAGCTTGCACCTTTCTTTGTATTTATTAAGTATATTGTAATGATTACGTTAAATGTATTCAAAAACGGTTGTTTAAATTACAGATTTCTATTTTAACTTTGTTATCCGAGAGAGGGCGTAACGTCAATAAAGACAGATGTCACTATTTATGTTTACGTCGTTTACGTTAAGAAACTACTAAACATAAAGATTTAAGTTTGTCGATAATAATCGATAGATTCTCAATTAAACTGAAAATAACAGTGTTATCGCGTAATTTTGATTCTTCAACTGACTCGTAAGTTATCTTGATTTATTGACATGAAAATTAACGGTGAAATTCCCACTTACCTGATAAATAACTTTTAGGTTATGTTGTACCTCAATTCCCTCTTAAGCTTGGAAAATGGACAGGAATCCGGAAAGCTTCGGATAATTATTCTTCAATCGGACTTCTTTGGATCTGCTGTCTGGTAATTGCCCTCGGAAAATCTTAATTCGACGTTAATTTTGGATTGAAATTATCGGAGAACCAATTTAAGGTTAGGAAACTATTTTTGACTTTTTTAGGTTAGATTTTTTTAATTCAACCACGCTCTCGCGCTTATTAAATTGAACTGCCTTGGTTCAACTTTTTCCTTTTTTATATACCCTTTTCCCCCTCTCCAGAAAATTTTCTTCCTTCTATTTTTAGCCCTCGCTTCTGATTGGTGGATGGGTTTCGCGCCCTTAAAATAATTTCAAATCTCTCTACTTACTCTCGCCATCTAGCGGATTTTTGTCGATCTACTCAAAATTCCACAACTTATTTTATTCATTTCTTCTTTAATTCTTAATTCATTTCTTCTTTAATTCTTCTAATTAATTAATCTAATAAATTAGATGTAACTGACACTGATCTTCCCGTTTTGATAGTTTAGAAAGGATATTAACATTTTAAAATAATTTCAAATCTTTCTACATTTCGAAAACGCCATCTAGCGGATTTTTGTCGAACTACTCAAAATTCCACAACTTATTTTATTCATTTCTTCTTTAATTCTTCACTAATTTGGATGAAATTTCATATTTGATGCATATATTCTTCTATTTCAGCCGTCCGTTGGAGGTTTCGAGATTCTCACAAAAGAAGTTTGAAATTTACAAATTTAAAATCCTATTTTCAAGGTCAAAATCGTTAAAAAGTTCCGGAATCTAATAAATTAGATGTAATTGACGCTCATCTTCCCGTTTGGATGGTTTAGAAAGGATATTAACATTTTAAAATAATTTCAAATTTTTCTACATTTCGAAAACGCCATCTAGCGAATTTTTGTCGAACCACTTAAAATTTCACAACTTATTTTCTTCATTTCTTCTTTAATTCTTCACCAATTTGGATGAAACTTCGTATTTGATGCATATATTCTTCTATTTCAGCCGTCCATTGGAGGTTTCAAGATTCTCACAAAAGAAGTTTGAAATTTACAAATTTAAAATCCAATTTTCAAGATCAAAATTATTCAAAATGTTCCGGAATCTAATAAATTAGATGTAAGTGACACTTATCTTTCCGTTTTGGATGGTTTAGAAAGGATATTAACAGTTTTAAGAGAATTATGAGCAACTAAAAATTAACTGTCAACTGAATTGAGGTTATGTTTCTCTCTAAGGTAAAACCTGTCTCGGAAGCTTTATTATTACAATACCTTCTTAGATTAATGTTAAAACATTGAAAATTTGATGTATTTTATTACTAAATATCGAGATTTTAGCTGAGGTCGTTTGCAGTTATGGCAAGAGCTATAAAATCTGCACGTTTCTTTTTGTGCAATAGAAATCCAAGTAGTTATCTTGGATAAGTGTTAAAGCTTTAAAAATTTGTGATATTCCATTACCTCATAATGTTATTTACTTTGTACCTTTCTTTGTGTACATTAACCCAAGAAGATATTAAATATATCTTCTTGGATTATTGTTAAAACGTTGCGGTGAAAAAATTTGGAGGTGTTTTAGCCTCGTTATATACTTAGGTGAATAGAGTGAAGATGTGGGAGGAAATGAAGAGGAGAGGGGTATCACAACAGCTGATAGAGAGAGTGAAGGAGACGTACAGGGAGACGATGGCTAAGGTTAAATTGAGGGAAGAGTTAAGCGAGATATTCTGGACTACAAAGGGTTTGGAACAAAGGTACCCGGTTAGTCCCACTCTATTTGCGATGTATACGGCGGACTTGGAGATCAAGGGGATGATAAGGTCGCTGAAGAGATATTTGGAGGCAAAGGGGCTGGAGGTAAACGTCGGGAAGACAAAGGTCATGAAGTTCTGCAAGGAGGGAGAGAGATAGAGGAAGTGAACGAGTTGAGTTGCACGCCAGGGCGATGGCAAACAGAGCGAACAGGGTGGTGGGGCAGGTTTGGGGATGCATGTGGGAGCGCAATGATAAATAAATGCAAGTATGGGGTTGGACAGAATAAGAGTTGCTAGAGGATATACAAACAAGGTAGTGTAGATGGGTATTGGGGTTGGTGAGGGAGACTACAAGAAGGAAGAGGTTAAGGTGAATGGAATAAGGGTGGAAGCTGGGAAAAAACCGATGAAGTACGAGAAAAGGATAGAAGGAAGACCGCATTGCAGGATCTTGGAGGAGTCCTGGAAGGAAATTAACACTCCAATAGACGCATGTCATCTAAGATATGACGTAGACAGTCTTCCTGGACTAACCAGGAAGCAACTTTTGCATGCATTGAATAATCATCTTAGAGATGACTCTTGTAATAACCGGAATCGCGAGTACTGCAGTGTTAAGGAAAGCAGGTCGAGATATGGGAGAGAGGGAATAATTTAATATTAAAATCTACACTGGAAAAGCAGAATTTAGACCAAATTGTTGGCGAACATACCTGTGAAGGGACCTCTAACCTTATATTACGTCGCTCCACAGCAATAAATTTCACCGTTACCATGACAATTATTATACAAGCTCACCTCTTGTTGTGCAAATCACAAACTGAAGCGGACTTTAATAAAGTTAATCCTATATAAAGTTACGATTACATCATAACAATGATGCTACAGTTCCTTTTATAATATGAAACACAATCCAGTTACTAGGACCATTCTATTGGCCCTCGTATTTAATTCGTTAACTCTCTCGTTTACGTCATTCCATTGAAACGAAATGATACCATCTTGAGCTATTAATTTGTTGAATTTATATAATATATATTTTATAATATACAGGGTGTTAGGTAAACATGCGGCAATGAGTTTATCAAGTACCTAAATACGTCTTATCGATAGCATTTGTTTAGATTGAGTGACGTTTGACTGTTTGACGTGTCTTTAACAGTTAGTGTAGTACTCTATTATGATTTATACGAACGCCAAGATGACTGACATGCATTTCATGTATTGACTTGATGATGGCAATTCATTAGAAGCTACACGATTTCCTGCCTGTAATGTCCCCGACCGAAAAATCTTCGAAAACATTCATTCGTGAAACAGGCTCATTAAAACGAAGTGGAGGGCCAGGAAGATCAATGACTGCAAGAACGGTACAATTGGAACAGAATGTGCTGGACATGATCGAGGAAGATCCTGGTAGTTCTACGCGAAGAATTGCAAATACTTTGAATGTAAGTCATTGGACAGTTTGGAAAATTCTTAAGGACAATTTGTTGTACCACATTCAATGCGTTCAAGCACTACTACTTGCTGCATTTTCCTTCACGTATTGCATTATGTCAATGGATATTGCAAACATTAGTTCGCATTCCTCTATTTCTGACACAAATTCTTTTTATCGATGAAGCCAGTTTCTCAAGAAATACAATAAGGAATTTCCATAATAATCATGTGTGGGCAGATGAAAATCCGCATGAGGTATGTGAATATCATTTTCAACATCAATTCTCCTTGAATGTTTGGGTTGGAATTGTTGATGATTATCTAATTGGACTGATATTTCTACCAGGAAGACTTACTGGCGTGGTGTATCGCAACTTTTTGGCAGAAACGCTGTCTGAGTTTCTGAAGGATATATCATACGCGACAAGAATTGCAATGTGGTTTATGCATGATGGTGCACCACCATATTTCGCTTGCTCGATTCCCAGACTTAAACCCCCTGGATTATTTTTTCTGAGGATCTCTGAAGTCATTAGTTTACGCTACTCCAGTGGAGATTTTGGACGATTTGCGAAATCGGTGTAACTCAATTAGAAACAACCCCGGTGTTTGAAAGAGTTCAATGACGACAATATTGAATGCTTGTAATCAGCCTGGAGGAAGTCATTTCGAACATTTATTGTAGATTGAGCAACTTTACATGTACTTTTTGATAATAAAATATTGTTACTGTTACTATCTTCGAAACAAGATTTTTCAAAAATTATCGCAGGACAAAATATTCTTAGAATAGAATTAGAAATAACATAACTCCCACATTTGTATGCTTAAGTCTTAAAGCATCATATGGACTTAAAGAGAAGACTTTCCAAGAACGAACTGAACTAAAAAAAACTTCAAGTTTAACCTAATTGAGTTAACTTTTTTTGAGTTTTCTTATTTACTTTGACGTCTTAAAGTAGTAAGTAAGTATCTGGAAATGAGTGGACGTCTAATTACGCCGACAGTTTGAAAGTGGTTAATAACGGCATCAAAGCTGCGGATTTATTTCAGAGGAACGAATGAAAACGGTTATTCAGTTTCGGTTTGTAGTAATAGCGACCGACGGATTCGGAAAGTTTCCAATGTTCTTGAACATTGATCCCTGCTTAGTTGGTTTGCCGCCCGGAGATTTCATTTTCTTCAAGACTGACCGTAAATTTTCGACGTAAAATTCAAAATTAAATTATACGTTATTATGGTCGGGGCGCCAAAAGCTTCCTATCTTCTCGAAAAATAACGTCGCCCTTAATTAAAGAAAAGGGCTTCCCGAATGCGCCTTGCGAAACTGCACGCGGGTTGGATAATGGCGGAAGTTGACGAACACAAAAGCCCAGGCGACAAAGAGAACGGCTCCTCTTTGAGAAGGGCCGACACTACACCACCCACTTTCGTCAGGTTTATTTCGTTAATTTTTAAGTTTGCCGCCTTTGATGTACCATAACTTTAAACCCTTTCTTCCGAGGAGTAAGCGAAAATTAGGAAACTAGATGTTCTAAGAGGAGTTAATCGGAAACGGATATTGTCCCGACGATAAATACGGATTAATGGGCGTGGTTAATAAGGCAAATTATGCCTCTAAAGAGCTTACGGATTAGTTAAACGCCCGGGGAGTAATGGGCTATTACGAGGGCTACACCATAATTCATAATCGACTACCAAATGCGCCTCGTTTCATGGGTTAGCACCGTTCGTTATGTAAATCTCGCGGAAAATATTAAACGACCATCCAAAACAAAAAAAAATATACGCAGGATTTTCCCCCTCAAAATGTTCTAAACCCCAAACAACTATGTTTCATATGGCAAATGTAAATGACAGCTTAATAAAATTGGAATTGAAAGATAATTAAAACATAACTGTAATTGGACCGCATACATCACTTAACTAAGCGACATTTTATCGTTTTTAGAGATTTTTATGCTGTGTTTTATGCCGAAAGACCTAAAGCATTGATTCCCAAAGTGGTCCAGGTGGTCCCCCAGGGGTTGGGTTGGGCCCACGAAAATTTTTCTGGTTTCGATAGTGGAGAACTAAAATGTTGGCTTGACTTCGCCTATCAATGTAGGCAGATAATATTTTAAGAAGCTCAACGACTCTTACTTGTAAAAACTTAAGAATTATACCAGAGGTAACTGTGTCATCCACCGATAACATCTAGTAGCGAAAAATTTGAGTGATAGATTGCACCCATCACTTCAATTTGCGATTAATGCAGTTAACAAAATAAGAAGCAATGCATTGAATATGCGTTTATTTGCACAATTGTGCGATGAAAATGATGAAGACTTCCAACGATTACTCTTATATACTGAAGTACGCTGGTTGTCGAAAAGTGCATGTTTAACAAGATTTTATTCACTTTTTGAATCAGTGTTAGAGTTTCTGGAAAGTAAAGACACAGATTTAAAAGAAAACCTTATCAATTTGAAAGCAGACATCGCGTATTTGACAGATTTGTTCAAAAAATTTAATGCCATTAACTTACAATTACAAAGAGACAACCTCAATTTAATAAAAACAAAGTGTGTACTTTCAGCCTTTGATTGAAAATAGAAATTTATGAAGCAAAATATTAGTCGGCGCGAATTTTCCGAGTTCTCAAACTTGTCACAGGTAGAATGGCTTGATGAGGATATTCAGACATACGTTCAACATTTAATTGCCCTGCATGATGACTTCAAAATCAGAACACAGACTTCATAAATCCATTTGATAAAACGGAAGTGGAGAATGTGGTATTACAAGAGGAGCTACTCGAGCTTAACACTAATGAGGAGCTGAAAGTGAAATTTCAAAGAGGGTATCAACCATTTTGGCTGCAGGCAGAAATACCTGAAAAATATCCTGGACTGTACGGAATTGCGAGAAAGCTTTTGATAGCGTTTCTCTCGCCATATCTTGTCGAAAAAAGTTTTAGTGTCGTTACATCCCTTTTAACAAAAAAAAAGGAGCAGATTGAATATCATAGATCGGGGAGATTTGCGGTTATTCCTAACAAAACTGAAGCCAAATATTG